GCCGGGAAGGACGGAAGAGAGTTCAGCAGGAGGACAGGACGGTACAGCTCTGTGTTACAGCCCAAGGCATTCCCGGATAACTTCTCTCTGGGTCTTGTTCTTGTTTATTTTATTTCATTTTATTTTTATGGAGTTTATTGTTGATAGAATTACAGATGTCCCCCATTTCTCCCCTCCCCTATTGCCTCTGCCCAACCCCCACCCCCAATGGAATACTATGCAGCTGTAAAAAAGAAGGAACTCTTACCCTTTGAGACATGGAGGGGCCTGGAGAGGGTTATGCTGAGTGACCTAAACCAGAGAAAGACAAATACCACATGATCTCACTTATCTGTGGAATCTAGTGAACAAAATGAATTGACCAACAAAATAAGTCCCAAGGTGTGGAGGTATGGAACAGGTGGACATATCTCAGGGGCAGTGGGGGGGTGGACAAGAAGAGACAAACCAAAGAACTTACATACTTACATGTACAGCCCTTGGACACAGACGATAGTGTGATAACTCTCTGTTTCGAGTGAGTTAGCCGTCCGTGTAAGCGAGGGGTTGGTGGGACTTGGAAAGGCAGCAACGGCCAGCCCGAGACACCCCTTCCCTTTATGAATGTTCGTTCCAAAGTTCACAGAGCCCCTGCGCATATCATTGACATCCAATACAAGCGAATGAGCTGGGCAGCAAGGGTTTGTCACAGAAATGTGACAGGTGGGACTAGTTTCACCTCTAGAGGTTAACCTGCTGGAGGTGACTCACTGCAAATCCGAGATCCCATCTATTACACCCTGGTGATTTTAATACGTGATCAGGAACTACTCAAGTTGGATTATGAGATAATAGGCAGCAAGAATATTAATTTGGACAAGAGGTTATAATTAGGGAAACCTACTCGCCAGCTACTGTGACAGTTAGATGTGGGATGATGAGAGCCGAGGACAGGGCGTGGCAATGCGGACACACAGGAGCACCTGAGGGAAACACTGGAAAGAGCCAATGTATTTTATTTTATTTTATTTATTTATTTATTTATTTATTTATTTATTTATTTATGTATTTATGTATTTATGTATTTATGTATTTATTTATTTTTAATCCTCACCTGAGGATATTTTTCTATTTATTTTCACATAGAGCAAAAGAGAGGGAGGGAGAGAGAAACATCAATGCGAGAGGGACACACCAACTGGTTGCCTCCTGCACGACCCCGACCAGGGCCGGGGACAAATTGCAACCGAGGTACGTGCCCTTGACCACAATCGAGCCTGCGACTCTTTGGTCCGCTGACCAACACCCTACCGCTGAGCCACACTGGCCAGGGCGAGCCGACATATTTGAACAGCGTGTGCATGGCTGCCCACATTTTGTCCTGTGTCTAAAATCCCTTCCCATTTTGGACTTTATTTAAACATTAGTTTTGTTCACATCTACTGAACTGTGTTATAGTCTCCCTGCTTGTCCACTCAGTGTCATTGCTCTAGGCGGTTTGCTTAACGTTGTTCCCCAAAACACCAGCAACAACTTCGCATCTTCCACCAGGTAGGATTCAGCCTAGATGAACCCTAACAAAGAGGTGCTAGTGTTAAAACTGGTCCACACACCACATACCCACACACACCACACACCACACACACCACACACACACCACACACACATCACACACACCACACACCACACACACACACCACACTCACCACACTCACACACACACCACACACACACCCACACACACACCACACCACACACACACCACACACACACACACCACACACACACCACACACACACACCACACACACACCACACACACCACACACCACACACACACACCACACCCACACACACCACACACCACACACACACCACACCACCACACACACCACACACACCACACACACACACACACACACCACACACACACACCACACACACACCACACACACACACACACACACACACCACACACACACACCACACACCACACACCACACACACACACACACCACACACACACACCACACACCACACACACACCACACACCACCACACACCACACACACACCACACACACACACCACCACACACCACACACACCACACACACACACCACACACACCACACACACACACACACCACACACACCACCACACACACCACACACCACACACACACCACACACCACACACCACACACACACCACACACAACCACACACACACCACACACACCACACACACCACACACCACAACACACACCACACTCACCCACACACCACACACACACACACACACACACCACACACACACCACACACACACCACACACACCACACACCACACCACACACACACACCACACACCACCACACACACACACACACACCACACACACACCACACACACACCACACACACACCACACACCACACACACACACCACACTCACCACACACACCACACACACACCACACACACACCACACACACACACACCACACACACATCACACACACCACACACACACACGCACACCACACACACATCACACACACCACACACCACACACACACACCACACACACCACACACACCACACCCACCACACAAACACCACACACAACACACACACTCACTACACTCACCACACACACCACACACACACACACACCACACACCACACACACACCACACACCACACACACACACCACACACACACCACACACACACACCACACACACCACACACCACACACACACTCCACACACCACACACACCACACACCACACACACACACGCACTCTGTCAGTCACCTAGCCCTGGCACTCATGTGAGCTCAGATATAATGTGTGGATGGTACACACTGAACATCAGTGTCGGGAACTGTTATCGGTCTGGCAGAGGGCGAGGGTAGGCTGAGGATGAACCTCGAAATCTGAAAGGGCTACGTTTTTACACAATAGCTATTTAAAATGTTGCAACTGCCTGGCCGGTGAGGCTCAGTGGTTGAGCGTAGACCCCACACACTAGCAGGTCACCAGTTCGATCCCGGTCAGGGCACATGCCCAGGTGGTGCGCCCGGTCCCCCGTCGGGGGCGTGCAGGAGGCGGCCAATCGATGCTCTCTCTCATCCATGTTTCCATCTCTCTCTTTCTCTCCCTTCCTCTCCCTCTAAAATCAATAAAGAAAAATAAATTTTTTTAATGTTGTGACTGTAAGCCTTGAAAACAAAAACCAAATTAAACAGCTAACACAGAAAGCCACGCTTTAACACAAGTCTCCAGGCCCCCCTGCAGAGAGCGTGCTTCAGGAGACTGTGGTCAGACACGCCGGGGAAGGGTGTGCCGCAGACATTCCCCGCTGTCCGCACTCAGAGGCACAGTGGCCATCAGCACGTGGCGCCCTAGGCAGACTCCGCAGTAGAGAAACCAGCTTAACTTACATCCGCCCAGCCTTGCCCAACTGCTGTCACCTGACTCTTGTTTCTAAGGGAGGAGAAGAGAGGAGGCATTTCTGGTCGATAATCCACGAACTACAGTCCACGTAATACTGTCCTGACATGTCAGCATCTCCTGGGCACCATCACTTCTGGGAGCTGCATTGTTTTAAACAGACCCAGTTTTCCTCTGAGCAGGTGGCAGGCATCCGGTCCTCATGTGAATTAATGCAGATAAATGACGAGATGTGCCAACCGTGTCGACGGAACCAGAGCGATTACTTCTATCAGGAAATACAAAGATATGCACGGAAACCCCAGACGCGAGAGAGGAAAAGACGAAACGAGAAGAGAAAAGGCGGATGTGCGAAAATGTCTGGGCAGCAGCTTTGCCTTCAGTGTCATGCAGACTGTTTTGGGGTGACTGTCGTCTGTATTCTCGGCACGGAGTCGCAAAGGCACATGAAGCCACAGTGCAGACCCCCGGAAACTGAGCTCCACGCAAAGGAGACCGTGAAGGGTCAGGATTGACTTGCAAACTGTTCTGTAGCCATTGGTCTCGGGAGAAACTGCCACGGCCAGTGGACACGGCTGTAACCAGGGCACCCCATGGACCCCAGAAACGCAGCTTCAACCTCAACACCAATGAAAGACACCGCACCCACATTTGCTCCTGGGAGGCAGGTCTCTTGGGCTCCGAGATCAAGTTCCCGGAGAAAGACGTGTCGCCCCGGTCAGGAGAGGAGGGACAATGTCCTGGGCTCTGTGTCCGCTTCCGACCAGGAACATCTGTACCCTCTTCCTCATTAAACACTGACCTCACCTAAGCACCTTTCTTCTCGGTCTGCTTGCTAATTGTCTGGAAAATCCTTTTTCAAAATCTTTTTTTAAAATCCTCACTCGAGGATATTTTTCCATTTATTTTCAGACAGAGTGGGACAGAGAGAGAAAGAGAGAGAGAAACATCGATGTGAGAGAGACACATCGACGGGCTGCCTCCTGCACGACCCCACCCAGGGCCGGGTCTGAACTGCAACCGAGATACGTGCCCTTGACTGGAGTCGAACTCGCCACTCTTTGGTCCAGCCAGACGGAGGGAGATCCAGGGGCCGAGTCACTGAACCGCACGACCCGTCCCAACCCCCGCCCACCGTCAGATGCGAGACAACCCCGAGCTGGCCACCAGCGCGCTGGAACCCGCCCGAGTCTCAGGAGAGCACCTCAGACCCTGGACAGCACAGGCGCCGACCCCGCGGGAAAGAACTCGACCGAGACGTGTGCGATGCCAAGCGGTGCGGGTTTATTGAGAGCTACAGGGTGAGACAAGGTCCTCTTCTCAGCAGCAAAAACTCAGAAGCCAAGAGACACAGCAGCGAAGCCGAAACCACCAGAGGCGGGGTGTGGGCGGGGACGCTTCTGGAAATGCCCAGAGGCGTGGGCACCGCCGGGAAGCTGGGTGCTGGCAGGGTGGCCGAGGGCAGCTCAGCCCAGTGCACCAGCGGGCACAGGACGAAGCGTGCGGGGCGGCGGCGGCAGGAGGCCCTGGGACAGCGGGCAGGTCGCCGAGTCTGCTGCTCCAGGCTCAGCAAGGTCTCCGGCAGCCGGACACGCAGGGCCGCTTGGTTGTCCTGGGGCTGCCCGGCGGGCATGCGGAGCTGCCGCCCAGGGCCTTGCGGCTGGACACGAAGGTGACGGGCCGGCTGCAGGCCGCTGAGCAGGGGCTGGGGACGCGGGCCGTGTGGCGGGAGCAGGCCCCCTGTCCGGGGCTGGGGACGCGGGAGGCCGGCTGGCACACGGGAAGTTCGCAGCTGGTCTCCTGACCACAGTGGTCCAGCAGCCAGGAGCCAGTCTGGAAGGAGCTGGGCAGGCAGATGCCGCTCAGGCACTCGACATCGTGCGGCGTGCCCGTGGCCACCGGGACCCCTGGCACCGAGCAGGCCCCTGACATCGGCCGGGACGCGCCGGTCCTCGCGGAGTGGAGGAAGGACATGGTGCAGGCGGCGGAGGTGGCGGAGGTGGCGGAGGCCTGCTCCCAGCTGTGCCGGTCTCTGCAGGCTCCCGGGCTTATATCCCTCCTCGCTGGCGGGTGGGGCTCCCCCGCCCCCTTCTTGGCTTCTGGGGCGCAGACCAGCTGCCTCAGAACATCTGGTGCGTCTCCAGGTTAATTGTCCTGTGAGAAGCCTCGGTCCTCATAAAGCACCTTTAGTGGTTTGGAAACGAAATCATGAGGCTTTTGCACTGTCCTGAGACCCAGGCTCCGGAAGGCGGGTGGACTTCAAAGCCCGTGGCCACCCAGCCACGCTCGCCCTCACTCTCCTTCATCTGGCTTGGCCGCCACGAGCGCCCGTCTGACTGGACCGTCCTCTGGTCACACTGTCTCCCTCTGGCCCGGACTCTGTGGTTCGCTGTTGGCATCCACTAGGGGTCCAGCCGGACTCTGTCATAGCCGACGGCTTCTCGTGGACAAGGAGCCTGCCTAATGCGCTTCAAGACGACAAGGGAAAACCTGTCAGGGAAAAGAACAGGGGTTATACCCAGAGGACGAGCTCGCTCGGGAAACCAACCCGGGGACCGAGCATGAGGCCCACAGAAAGGTTTGGGGGGCGGGTCTCCCCCTGACTGTCCAGGCACCAGAGCCAAGCAGAGGCTGATCGATTAGGGCTGCATTTGTTACCAAATCTCTTTCAAAATCAAGTGGACAAGTTATTCCTAAAAAGTCTGACCTACCAGCCATGAGCAACAGTGACTCAAATGACTCATGACTTTGCTCGCAGAACAGGCTCGGTGAACATTTAATTGCTCGTTATTTGGAAGGGGGGCAGTGTCTTTCTCCAGAGACGCCCCGCATGTTCGAAAGAGACTCATTTTCACACAAACGTGCATGGATGGGGTGCGTCTCTGTCACGGACAAGCCAGAGGCTCTCAACGCCACGTCTCCTCCGGGATCGGGGAGGAGGGCAGGCAGACACCTGGTCACGAGTGGGTAGGTGAACCGTGTGCCATAACATTTAATTATTGTTTTCATTCTCGGGGAGAAAGGACGAGGTTGCCCTTCTCCTTGGCTTCATCTCAGTACAACCTAGTCCCTTCCGGACGTCCAAACGGCTGGCGCTTTGGGCCACCCCCACAGGCGTCTCGGCTCCGGAAAACAAGTCACTGCACCATGGCTCAGGTGGCCGGCGATGTCTCCACATCCAAACCATGTAAGCCCTGACTCACTGCGTCAGCCGGCTGCGTGGGGTTGGAGAGGGGACGGTACGGATTTCCATACGTTTGAGGGTCACAGGTGGACTGCAGTGCAAACACCCACAAAGCACCCCGCTTGATGTGCGTGCTCATCAGAGGTCCCTTTGCAAAACGCCTCCTTCCTCTCTGTTCCTTCCACTGAAGCCACTTTGGGAGTGTCCAAGCCTCTAATCGGAGGCTCATAAGACGCCGTCCAGGGCGACGCTGTGCTCTGAGTGGCATTGCCCAGGGTCAGCCCGCCCCTCCCTCGGGGGCACTCAGCGCTCTGGGGTGCCGGAGACGTTAACAAGATGACTCCTTTCCGCCGTGTGTGACGATGCTTTTCCACCGAGGGAGGGGAAGGGCAGAGTCCTGGCCGTGGGGACGGGCTGGCTGGCCGGTTCCCAGCAGGTGAGCCGCCGGCAGGCTCCCACCGGACACGGAGCCGTGGGAAAGGACTTCCTCTCGTGCGTTCATCGAGGGACTCAAGCGGAGAAGCGAGGTCAGCGTCCAAGGCGCAGGGAGACGGTCTCAGGACCCATCATCGGCCTGTCTCTGCAGTGGCCGCGAGATCCCTCCACCGTCACTCAGTCCCCATTCTTCCTTTGCACTGAACGTGAAAAACCACGAATGGGAGGATCCGAGGAAACGCCTCCCATCACTTCGGGAGAAAAGGGCGAGCGTTTTCTGGGCGCCTGCCTGTCTCCCGGGCGTCGCACCCGTGGCCTCATGCACAGATCATGCTCAGCACTTCCCGCAAGTCTGAGCGGCGGGTGTCGTCCCGGGAACAGCTGAAGTTCACGGCGGGGGGCGGCTTGCCGAGGCCCCAGCTTCTACTTCACCGAGTTGAGATTGAGATGAGACAGGGCCTGAGCTGCCAGGCCACCTTGGGGACATTTAAACATGGTGAGAGGCCTCCGTTCAAGTTTGAGCAAAAATTTATTTTTAAAAATCAATCACCCGGCCCTGGCCGGTTTGGGTCAGTGGTTAGAGCGTCGGCCTGTGGTCCAGAGAGACCCGGGTTCGGTTCCCGCTAAGGGCATGTACCTCGGTTGCAGTTTGTCCCCGGCCCTGGTCGGTTGTGCGGGTGGCAGCCACTCGATGTGTCCCTTTCCCGTCAATGTTTCTCTCTCTCTCTCCCTTCCTCTCTCTCCCTCCCACTCTATCTGTGCAAAAAATGGAAAAATATCCTCGGGTGAGGATAAAAAAAAAAATCAATCACTCGGCCCGGCCGGTGTGGCTCAGTGGTGGAGCGTCGACCCTGCACCAAGAGGTCGCCGGTTCAATTCCCTGTTCAATTCCCGGTCAGGACACATGCCCAGGCGGTGGGCCCGATCCCCAGTGGGGGGCCTGCAGGAGGCGGCCAATTGACGTTCTCTCTCATCGATGTTTCTGTCTCTCTCTCCCTTTTCCTTCCTCTCTCTCTAAAATCAATAAAAGAAAATAAATAAATACATTAATTAATTTTTAAAGAAAGAACTGCTACCCATTATCATCATCACTGACGGGTAGTTTGCTCTCATTTGCCTGGAACCATCGAAGCCTCGCACAGTGACGCCCACAGACGGAACGAGACCCCCACCCCCACCCCACACGGGCCACTCGCAGAGTGTTGGGAGCGAAACGGGCGGAGCAGGTGTGGGCGCTGGAGGTGTGGTGGGCAGGAAGGCATTTTTCATCCCAGCGTTGGGAATGATGCTGACCGATGCCCGTTTAAGAAAAGCAACAACAGTCTCATCAAGGGAGGAAGAGTGAACACACTGAAAAGTTTTAACATGTCCAACAAGATGCTTCTCCTTCTGCGCTCTCTCGGGACGCTCCCATTTCCAAGCGGAAGCCTTTCATTCTCTCTTAAGAAACATCAACAGGGGCCAACATTTCCGGGGCGGAACAGAATGGGCGTTTTCAAAATTACATACACCTTGGCTGAGTGATTCGCCTCTTTCCCGACTTCACAAAGACCCCTGGCTGACACTCCTTCCGGGGACCCTCATTAAACCAGGACCTAGTGAAGCCCCAGACGCTCGGGGACTTGTGCCACGGAACTGAACCAAGACTCATTTTCCAAACTCTTTTCCACAACCGCCCTTCCGAGGCGGGTTTGCACCTTCGGGCCGGGAGGGAGCCGTCGGCAGAAAACAGGGGTGACGGACGAGAGCAGGGACCGTCAGACGCTTGCTGCTTTGACCTTGGAAACCAGCCGTCGGCACAGACACGAACCCTCGGCGGACAGCGTCCGGGCGGAGATCATCTGATCATCATCTTGTCTCCGGAGGCCTGTCTTCACATCTGTGGACGCTTCACCGGGGCCCGAACCAGGGTTCCACCAGCAAAGGAGAGGAAAGCCCGTGTCTGGGCCACACAAGCTGCCCTGCCGGAAGGCCCGTGGCAGCCGGGCCGGGCTCAGTCCCAGCCCGTCAGCCGACATGGAGCAAGGACAGAGGACACTTGCAGGGTGGCCGGGGAGGGGCGAAGGGATGAGAAGTACAGACTGGTAGCTTCCAAACACACCGGATGTACAGGGAATTTAGACAACAATATCGTCATACCCACGTAGGGTGGGGGTCACTCCGTAAGCGACGTGAACGTCCAACCTCTGTGCTGTGCTCCGGGAACTGAGAGCAGCTCGAATGTCAACAGCAACTGAATTTTTTAAAAATTTCTTTAAAGACGTGAACCCAGCCCTAGCCGGTTTGGCTCAGCGGTTAGAGCGTCCGCCTGCGGTCCGGAGAGACCCGGGTTCGGTTCCCGCTAAGGGCATGTACCTCGGTTGCAGTTTGTCCCCGGCCGCAGTTTGTCCCCGGCCCTGGTTGGTCGTGCGGGTGGCAGCCACTCGATGTGTCCCTTTCACATCGATGTGTCCCTCTCTCTCTCTTCCTCTCTCTCCCTCCCACTCTGTCTGTACAAAAAATGGAAAAATGTCCTCGGATGAGGATTAAAAAAAATAATAATAAATAAAGACGTGAACCCAGCCCTGGGCACTTGGCTCAGCAGTGAGAGCGTGGTCCACGGACCAGTCACAGGCTCCTGGTCAAGGGCGCGCACCTGGGCTGCAGGTTTGATCCCCGACCCCAGCTGGGTTGTGTAGGAGCAACATCGATGTGTCTCTCTCACGTGGATGTTTCCCTCTCTCTCTCCCCACCCTCCCGCTCTATCTGCAAATCAGTGGGAAAGTATCCTCAGGTGAGGACCAGAAACAGACAAATGCATAAAGAGGTGAAGCCCCTTGTGACCTGAGCAATGTCTGTGTACAGGGCCCGAGGGTCAGGCTACAGGTCACTCAAGCCGCACGAGCCGCCCTGGACGGAAGGAGCCGCTCAGTGGGTACCGGCGAGGAGAGGATTCGGGGAGCGCAGGAGGGGGAGGAGTCTGTCTTAGCGCCCCTAGCTGACCTGGGCCCTTCCCATATGCAGTGTCCTGGTCCGACCTGTCAGGCCAAGGACAGGAGGGCGCGTTGGGCCAGCACCACCCTGTCACAGAGCTGCTCTCGGGGCTCTGGTCCATGTCGCCCCATTGACAAGGAGCAGAGTCCAGAGACGGAGCACCTTGGCCGAGGCCTCGGGCACCCCCTTTCTTCCTGCACCTGCTTTGCAGAGGCTGAAGCCAGCTTCAGGGTGGTGCAGCCACACACCGCTGCCTTCGCTTTGGGGTGTCCCCTCCCCTCAATTCCTGCGCTGGCCTCTCCGCCGCCCGGGACGAGGCATCTGTGCCAACGAGCTCGGAAGTGGCCGTGCGGAGCGACGGGAATTAGCCTGAGGACGAGCG